TTCAAAAGGGAGACTACAACCCTGGCTATCCTTTACTTCGAAACACATGAAAACAAGACATATATCTCACCGCCTCATGTACACTCCCAAGAAAACGCTTCACTCCAGCTATAAGAGTAACGATGCTATTATTCGAAATCATCACACCCTTGGGTTCTCCAGTTGTTCCACTAGTATACATTATTGTGCAAATATCAGTCTTCTTTTTCACTGGAAGATCATACTGATTTTTGCTTCCCTGCACATATTGAGAAGTGTGATGTTTAACTTAAAGGGAATATCGAAATCATTTAAGAGTGATGTCCAAAAAAATAGGGAAGGGAAGGGTTGCATCAATCATTATATTCCCAAGCGTATGTAATTATCCTTTGAAAAGAGAAGTCTTACTAATTGTAGAAACTCATCCCAGGAAAAGAGAGCCGCTCCAAACTTTTCAACCTCTTCCTTTTGTTGAGGAGTAACTTCCCCAAAACTCACAACCGCTGGTGATTAAGAAAAAGAAACAATATTCCATTAACATGACATATTTCACATTTCTGAAAAGAACACACTAAATCACAATTGACTTACTCTTCAAGTACTTCGCTGCGTTTGGAAATGTTTTCAAAAGCTGAAAAGGAATAAGAGCACATTTTAGTAAGAAGCACATCCCTGAATTGTCAACAACATAACTCCAACTTCAACATTAATAAACTTCTGAAACAACAATCTCTTGAAACATTCTTGTCATTATCCTATTTACTGGAACAATTTGTTTCTGCAAGCTATACTAATCCAAAGTTCTATAAAAAATGATGTCCAAGTCTGAAACATTTAAATCTTTTTAAAACAGCATAGAAGTTCAAGCAGATCATTCTTTATCCTGCAAGGGCGAGTTAATTTCGCTTCCACAGTAGAAAGTGAAGTATATGTAGCTTGGGGATCAACATGCTTATGGAATCCAAGACTTGATGTTTGAATAGTTCATATAAGACTGTCTAATTAAAGTTGTCTATACCTCGGGAACTTTTTTCTCCTCAACAAAAGCAATTGAAACCTCAGCATGGGAAATGATAAATTCCACTGCACCAGCACCTGAAGACATAAAAAAGATTATTACTTATTATATTGGTTTTTACATCAGCATGACATTCCTTCTTCTAAGAAAGAAAATGAAAAAAAAAGGCCCTATGACTGGTAAATGTAATTAGCCTCTTGGTAGTCAAACTCCACGATCATGCATCTCATTCGAACAAGCCTAGAACATTTCTCTTATTTTATAAGAGTAACTCATAGGATGATAAATTCTATTCACAAGGAAGAGCACGGAGCCACTATTCTCACGGAAGGAGAATGCATACCTAAGGTGTCATACAGAGGGACACAGTAGAGTCCATGAGCATTGCATGCCTGCATCAATAAGTTACAAACGAGGTTTAATTTCTAACATCTATCCGAGAAAACAATAGATGTTATAAGCAGCAATAGAAGAAATAGTGAGCATCGAGGTTAGGGACCCGATAGATTGAAAATTAGAAACGTGAGAAGCATCTTGTTTCATGCCTTGTAGTTTGAATTAAATTGGATTTTAAACAGAGATATCGTACTTTATTTTAGGGAATAACTGCCACCTCTACAGAATTATACAATCTAGATGTAGTCCAAAGATCTGTTTAGTCGTCTCATGAAACCAAAAGTCATCCTCATTGTGGTAGAAAACTGACAATTTTAGAGCATGAGGGGTACGTGAGGGAACACGAAGAGGACTAGTATAGCAAAAAGGATATATGTGATAGAATCTAATAGTAATCCGCAATCAACTAGTCAACTTCAAATAGTATTATTAAAGGAATACTGATTGAAGTAACTAATAGACATGTTGCCAATGGAAACAAGAAATAACCCCATTGTTAACTTGAAACATGTACACAACCCATGACATTTCTAAAGGGAAGAAATTATGTTCTCTTCACACCAAATGGACTTGCTGATATCACATAGGATAACCAATAATTACGAAATACTGGAAACCAGTAGTAACAACAAAGCCAATGCAGATCCTCATTTAGAGGTGAAAAGGAAGACATACGCCATTAACAAGTTGCATGTCCACCTCCCAACCCACATTCTTATTCCATTATTTGATAATGCTTATAGTGGCGTTTATTTCCGTCTATCTATTCAACTATGTGATGTTCCATCAATTAGGATCTTCGATTGAATAAACTTCTGTAGTGTAAAGGCAGGCGATCATTTGAAAAATGCTTAACATAAAAAAGAAAAGGGGAATACCTCCATGCTTATAATCCACTCAGAGCAGTTGGCACCATAAATACCACATTTTCCTCCCTGTCAAATTACAGGAGATAAGGAACTGATTGGAAGTACAGACAATCAAGGGGATGAACAATAATAAACAGGCTACAGAAATCGATTAATGGAACTATCAAAAATAAACAGAGGATGAAGAGAGTTGGAAACTTACTTGTTCTACACCACAGTTTCGGATAGCATTTCCTACTTTTATGACAATGTCATATACTTCTTTGTAAGTCGTCCATACATACTTTCCGGGCTGAAGATAAGAGCAACAAATACAAGAATCAGCTAACATGAATTCAGCAAACAAAACTTTTGAAAGTAGGAGTTGAAACTAATGCGTAGTAACACATACCTTTCCATCCACAATCTTACGACGGCCAAGCATTCGGTTGTTGGGATATTTCTCCACTGACATACTGTGACATAGAACAAGAAAACATCTATAAGTTCCAACATTAGACAGTAAATTTTTACAAGCATCATCAATCTGGAAACTGCTCATTGCTCATCAAATATAAAATAAACACTTCCTCTGGCCCAGTTTATAAGACACTCTTTCTACTCTCGGATGTTCCAAAGTGTTTGACATCCTTCCATTTTTATAGAACTTTCACAAGTCTCAAAATTTCAATTCATTAAACTAAACGAATTCAATTTTTTTTTTTTTGTGATATTTTCTCTATCAAATAACTTGTCAACTACTTCTATTTTAATATTAGTTTCACTATACTAATACACTCCTATTATATATGTCAAAGTGACATCTCAAACTCCATATCCACTTAGTATATGAAATAAACTGTTGATTACATAATTATGTACGAAAAAATTCAAATATCAATCTGAAAACTACACTAATGATGAAATATATAAAGCTAGAAGACTACACCTTTTTTTGCGAACTAATCCAATAAATTCCAAGTAGATATTAAAATTTAGTGAATCAAATCATAACATGAAATCCACAGCAGTTTAATCAAAATTTTGCAGAAAATTATCGTTTTTGAAAAAATGCGGTTCTGTTACCGGAAAATATCCCAACAGCTATCTAAACCTTCAATCGCAGGTGGAAAACCGTCCTTAGCGAATAAACTCCGATAAACCGGTCCAACTGACGGTTTTCCATCCTTAGCTGGCTTAGCCGGTTCAACCTCAATTATAAACCTCTCCGCCATCTCCGATCCCTCAATAATTCTCACAAACTGTCAAATATATATAGCTTTTCACGTGCAATTCGTCCAATAGATAGAAGAAGATTGCAAAATGTAGGTGCACGAATTAATTAAAACATATACAAATTTTAATAAATTTGTGTCAAATTTGTGGGGATTTTGGCGAAATGAGAAGTTTTTTTACGTGAAGAAAGGAAGTTTCGGGCCGGATGTTGGATTCTGTTATCAGAATTACGGGTCTCACGGAAAGCTTTTCAGTATTTTGTGGGATATATATAACTGTATGTAGAGTATATATATTCCTCCCATGCAGTTTAATTTTACTACTCATTTGACGTACCAAACTATTGAAGTTACCTAAGTTTTTTTAATTAATATGCCCTAGATTTATGTGAGACATAACTTGGGGAGTCAAAGTGGTTTTTTTTATTAATACACCATTTTTTTAAATATTTGTCTAAATACTTTGAATTGATAATTATATATTGTAATGTATGATTCTTCCTAATTACGTATATCTTTTCAAATTTGCACTACATACCAACATATTTCATCAACATCAAAGAGCACACCTGAATAATTTGTGCCCGAATTCACACCGAATATTTTGAACCTTCCATGCATATATTGTCACTGCGTCCCAACATAGTTCCTACACTATAGCTAGCGGGTGCTCAAGCACCCATTGTATTTTACCTAAACATTGTATTTTTATAATTGCGATGGATGTGCGGACACACTAGAAAGGATAAGATTAGAAATGAAGATATTCGGGAGAAAGTGGGTGTGGCCTCCAAGGAGGATAAGATGCGAGAAGCGAGGCTACATGGTTCGGGCATGTGCGACGGACAAGCCTAGATGCCCCAGTGAGGAGGTGTGAACGGTTGGCGCCAGCAGGTAGGAGAAGAGGCAGAGGGCGGCCTAAGAAGTATTGGGAAGAGGTGATCAGGCAAGACATGGTGCGACTTCAGCTTACCGAGGACATGGCCCTCAATAGGAGGGTATGGAGGTCGAAAATTAGGGTAGAAGGGTAATAGGTCGTAATGTGTTTTTCTGATCCGTTCCGGGTTTATTAGGGCTAGCCTGCTAGTACCTTGTCATTGATTATGAGAGTGCTAGTATTAGGGTTATTTGTAGTACTATCTTCTGCTTCAATTTTTTAGTACCTTGTCGTTGTTACTGCTTGTTGTTATTACTATTGTTATTGCTATTGCTATTGCTTTCTTTCATCTATTTTTCCGGCTCATTCATTGTTGATATCATTTTTCTGGCCTTGTTGATAATTACTTGTTTCTATTCTTCCTCTCGAGCTGAGGGTCTTTCAGAAACAGCCTTTGTACCTCCACAGGGTAGGGGTAAGGTCTGCGTACACAGTACCCTCCTCAGACCCCACTTGTGAAATTCCATTGGGTTATTGTTATACTGTATTATCATCCTTGCTAATGTCAATAAAGGAAATGTACCATATGATGACTTCTATTACTGCTAGAAAGTGCAATTTATCAGCAAGAAGCAAACTCAATAACATAAACAAGTTTCAATAGATTAGTGAAAAATAATTAAAACTTGTGGTTGCAAGTCACAAAATGGATTTGCTTATTACAGCAAACTACTGACATATAGTGCTGCAGTATTCTGGTCAGCGTTACAAAATTTCTCAGACTATAATCTTCTCTCGAATGCCTATATTCGTATGGAAAAAGAAAGAAAACAAAAAATATTATATCTCTATGAAGTACTTTGAAATAAATTACATACTCTGCTCGCTCCCCTAACCTATAATTCTCAAGAATCATAAACTAAGTGAAAAATAAGCTTATGTTCCAATTATTTCAATGGTGTATAAGAGCGACTAATAACCTATAACTGGCAATCTGCTAGATCAAATTTTCTCCTTCAATCAACGACGTTTATCGTCTCTTCTTGTTCTTTCTTCTTTTTACTTGTTTCTCTAAACGTTCGATCCTTTGACCAAGAACAGAAGACGACGAAGATGATGATGATGATGATGATGATAGACCTTGACTTGTGGGTTTTGATGCCTCGGGAAGTGATGATTGGGCGTGCTTTTGTGCCACTAAGTGCTCTTGCGCTGCAGCAAATTTCTTGAGAGTATCGAAAAATGAGAGTCCCGGTTTTTGTTCAGATGGAGGACTTACAGGTACTATAGGAACGCGAAGTAACTTCTTAACTGCAGGATTTTTAATCACTGGCACACAAAGAAGACACAAGATGAAAAGTAAAACGTGTCAACGACAATTGCAACAGCTAAAAATTGCAAGACATGAATGCTTGTGCAGGAAATGAATCATAATACTAACCTAATCCGTAGGAGAGTGAAAAAAGATTTGAAGTCATCCAATAACAGAATACTGCCTGCAAAGAAAAAAAACAACCACCAGTGATCGACATAGCACTACAACAAATGAAAGAATAATCAACCAAGAACTCAAATCAACTCCAAATACAAAAGCATACCACGAGCGCATAGCATTTACAAGGATTACAAAGCACATAAAGGCTAACTATAGGTTCACAGAGGCGCGGAGCCAGAAGCCCGGCTACGGGTTCAATCAAACCCAGTAGCTTTTGCTCAAACAATGTATTTGTATTAAAAAAATTCATTAAATATGTACAAAATATTAAATTTAGAACCCAGTTATTAGCAATTGAAGTTGTCGTTCCAAAATTCAGAATCCATAAAGTTGAAATCCTAGCTCCGTCCATGGTCCAACACGAACAAAAATTGTGTTCAACATGATAGACACCCATAATAAATTAGCCGTGTCTCGATTATGACTTTTGACATGCAAAACGCTTATGATACGATCATTTAGCGCCACTTGAAGAGAGAGCCAGCCGATAAAGGTAGAACATTTGGCTGCACCAATCTCATATTCTAATACCTTGTGTAAGGTAAATATAGTGAAGTTATCTTTGAGCAATTAAGAAGTTAAGAATGCTTATAACTTGATCTATAATGTAGGTCAAGTTATGAAAGGAATGTTTAAGGATACCCTCAACAATCAAAAACCAAAAGATAATGCATGTACTCAATCAGAAACCGGCAAAAAGAAGAAGATAACAGCCAGGGGCGGAGCCAATGAAAAAGCTATGGGTTCATCTGAACCTAGTAAGTTCGGTATAGGCCTTGTATCTTTGTTAAAAATCCAGCTAAATAAGTGCAAAAAAAAAATTGAACCCAGTACGCGATGTGGTAGAATTTTGAATTTGAACCCATAAAGTTCAAATCCTGGATCTGCCTCTGATAACAGTCAGACACAAGGCCAATTTGAAGTGAAAGCACATCATGTACTTCTGATGTACAAAAGTTCTACCTCAGATTCTTCACAACGTAAATAGAAAAGGATAGATACATGATAAATCATTATACATGAATTGGTTTGGATTATGTACCTTAGGAAAACCAGCAGTAAATGGGATAGTTAACGCAGCAAAGGCTCGTGAGACATTTTTTATAGTTTTAGCATGAGCATTTCCTTCCAATCCTTCTTGAGCATTGCACTGAGAAAGAAGAAACTCCGGTTAACAAAAAGTTGTCAGAAATTATATTGGTGTGAAGATATCTAGATAGAGACGGCAGGATTTGTTAGAGAATAGAAAAAGGTATAGTAGATGAAGGCACCACACACCGAAATGAACATAAGGACAACTCACCTCCACTGTTATCCAGAATGTCAATGCAGTCAAAACAGGGAAGATGTACATACTATCTGGAGTAGTTAGATCAGTAAACCAAAGCACTCCCCCCTGTTTGAAAGAAGGGACTTTTTCCACCATGTTTGAAATCTGCATTTTAGGCAATAAATTTTACTTTTTTAGCAATGAATATGGTACGGAGAGGGGGGGAAACAAGGACATTATAGATAGCAGAAAGTGGATAAACTTACAGCCATAAAGAAACTGACAAAGATTGGCCCTTGTATTAGAATTCCTTTTAAGGGAGTGAAGGGTGAAACTCCATATCTGCAAGAATATCATAGATGGAAAAGACATCCATCATATCGAAACATTTCAGTCAATTATGAGGCCAATTATATGTTGAGCATACATAAGATAATTCAGGACTCCAATGAAACTGCGGATTTGCATTTTAGTTCTTCTGCAAACAAGTCATACATATGATTTAATGAGAAGTTGCTTACTCCTTCATTGCTGCTTTCATTTTTTCTTGACCTTCAGCGACAGCTGCCGGAGCCATACCCTAGTAAAAAGGTAAGAAGTTTAACAAGGTAATTCTTGCACACTAGCTTAATTAGAAGAAAAAATATCATGAGAGTTTTATATAGTTTGTCACACACAGTGTAGCTTGTCACAATTGCACTGTATTGCGAGGTAAAAGATATTGTTTTTATGCATGTATATACTATATGTTGAATCACCTTGGCTTTTCCGTGTAATTCTTTATTTTTAACAGTGAAAATTCTGGCTCCACTGTTGGTCACAAAGTGTGCTGAGATAGAGAACCAAACTAGTATGGACGCGTTGATATATTGCCTAAATTTGATAGATATATAATCTATTTGGAATTAGTAACTAGAGATGATAATACAGAGGGATAGAGTATAAGAATCTTGTACTAAAGCAGAATGGCAATGTGTAATAATAAGTAAATTTTAAAGCACTACTTAACAGTTAACATCCTCCAACAGGATGACATAAAACTAATAGATGTTTCATAGCTAAAAGTTATTACAAAAAGGCCAAATAATGTATGTCAATGGCGAACGAAAGAGAATCATATCAAACTTACCCTATCTTGCATCTCTTGGTTAATCGCATCCAACTTTGGCTTCACAAGCTGCAAAAGACATGCATGTTAATAAATGGATGATTTGTGAATTTTCACCAGAAAAGAAGAAAAGAAAAAGGATGAACTGCAAAGAAAACCAAAATTAGCAAAGACAGACTATAACTTAACGGGAAACAACTATAAATCTCTCTCCTTTTTTTTTTTTTTGCATTCGGCTTGTGTAAGGGATGCAGAACGAGAGATTAGATTCTGATTAGCAAATAGTTTGGTTACTTCAACATTTTCGAGAAGTATATAAAAGTTTATAGAAAGCGCAGTGTCCGCCCAAGTGAACTTCGCATATCGGGTCCCACATCAAATTAAGGATAAGGGTTGTGGTAGGTAGACAACCAACGTAAGAATAGTCAAACTTCAATAAAAATTGAATGAAACGCCTGAACAATGTGGAATTAATATAGAGGATTCAGCCAGCCAACCCAACTAATTTTAGGTTGAGGCGTAGTTAAATGATTGATAGGAAATTTATAGGAGCTTGCATTTGAAAGGTAAACACGTCTTAGATGATATTCAACAACCTTAGCAAGATACAATAAATGAACTTATAAAAAGATAAGGACAAATCCCCATAGGGGCCGGGGGGGGGGGGGGGGGTGGGGGGGGGGGGGTTAGGGGGTCATACGTAGG